AAAAGAAAAAAAAGAATGAAGAAAAAAACAAGGAACGGAAAGCAGATTGATTCACTTTCGTTTTTTTTTTTAGTGATGTGCAATTTTCACGATATCAAGTATTGCAAAAATTCCAAGATCAGAATTGCAATGACAGCAGTGAACAGAGGAAATGATAAACTTCTTGAAGTATTGTTTTGCAGACAAGCATTGATTTTTGCAACCAAATCGAAGAAAGGAAATCTCTAGCCACACCATGAATAGCAAAAAAAAAAGAAAGAAAAAAATCGATCTAGTTTTTGTCAAAATTCAAATTTACACACTACGCAGCGATTTAGAATCTGATAAAAAATATTTTGTTATCATAACGTATTCTAAAATTATATAGAATAAAAATGGCGGTTAACATAACAACGTGTTTAGCAATCTAATTTTCACGCCTTCTTTTCAGGGTATCGAATTCCGTCTTCCTATCTACCAACCTCTCTCTCATAGACGGGGTGTGGCGAGTCTCTCACTGTCCTATCCCTACTTCCATATAAAGTGGTCGGACAAACTACATTCCTTGATTCAAACACGGCTAAGACCCGTCATGCCACTTACATTAGTGCAAACCACCTCCATTACCCCCGTATTCCAACATCTAGAAATAAGTTCCACTCAAACAACTTTTTCCCGCAAACCACTTCCATGTGGAATAGACTTTCAAGAGGATGTTTCCCTGATCACTACAATCTTAAACTGTTCCACTCTCGAGTTAACCGTTATCTTCCCCTCCTATCCATATAAACTACCAGTTAACATAATCCTCTACCTCGGGTGACCCTCGGGCCTTAGTATAAAAAATGCGTGTCCACCAATTTTTATCCTATCCCTGTTGTAGCGATATCAGTGGAAACATTTGAGCTGTCACAAAAATTGCTTCAAGTATTTATTTTCCTTATGATTATCATGTAAGTGATGTCAACTTCAAAAGTATCACGGCAAACGGCTCTGGCAGGACGGGTCAATGAATGAAGTTAGACTTTGATAAATTGCTTTTTTAGACAAAGATGATAAGACAAAGAATTTATAAGACAATGGTCACTGCCAGTGGAAAACACACACAAACACTGACACACAGAGACCCAGTTTGGAGAAGGAAAGTCGACCGCATCGAGATGAACGGGAAGACGGCCATTAGACTGTTCACCTCCCCTCACCTCGCTTAATTTCTACCTCTAACAGTTACAAACAGAATAAAATCTGCCTGCTATTACACACAGTCTCATTGTTTCATTTTGTGGGTGACGATCTGGTCAAAGAGTTATTTTAACCTACAATCATTTGACTGGAAAAAGCTGCACCCTGGCAACGAACCTGGTGTCAACACTGTTGCATTGACTGAACTTCATAAATTTTCATTAAGTTGATCCAATTTCTTGAATGAAATATTATTGCTCCACTAGCTTTTCTTATATTTCTATACTGAGCAAGTTTAATGCTGTTTTGACAAATGTTATTATCAGTCAAAATCTGTGGTTATGTTGTTTTCAGTGGATATCTCTGGTAATACTCACACAGCCACTGTCAAATTGCCCACAGTAGTACATAAATTATGTGACAGGTTCGAAATACACAAAAGACTATTATCATAAGTAACTATGCATTACAATACATTTATATTCACCGAAACAACAGCTATAATAATAGACTAGTATTTCACTGTAAATTCTATTAAACCCATAATATATATATATATATATATATATATATATATATATATATATATATATATATACTATATGCTAGTTTCTAATATTCCTTGCTTAATATGTAGGGTGAAATAATAAGTAGGAAGTTTTTTATGTATTTCCGGAATTCTTACTTTACGGGGCTGGATTTAAATTAATTTGGTAACGTTATCGCTATTCTGTTTTCACACATATTCAGTTTCATCGGCATTTAGTATTAAAAAAAACGTTGTAAGCGCCGTAATAATTGGGTTGAGATAAAAAATAATGGAACGTTAACTACCTTATGATTTACTAAGTCCAGGGGAAGAAATACTTTTGAAAAACTAATATGGACTGTATTATTATTAGAGGTATATTTTTCCAGGCCTTTTCGTCGAGTAAAAAAAATCTAGCTTAACTGGGTTTGGTTTGGTTTGTTTTGTTTTACGTCATATCAACCTCAATGGGTTATTTAATGCCGACAAATTTTTTTTATTGCAGGTAATATTTTATTTTCAAAAATGTATTGCTGGTAATATTTTTTCTTTCAAAAATCTATTACTGGTAATATTTTTTCTTCAAATATGTATAGCTGGTAATTTTTTTTCGAAAATATATAGCTGGTACTATTTTTTTTCAAAAATGTATTGCTGGTATTGTTTTTTCAAAAATGTATAGCTGGTAATATATATTTTTTTTCAAAAATATATTGCTGATAATAATTTTTCTTCAAAAAATGATTTCTGGCAATATTTTTTACAAAATATTTCTGTTATTAAAACCTATTTTTAAACTTTCATAGTGCTTTGACGCCCCCAGGTCAGGAGGGACATGGGAAAACCAGCAATTAAGAGGTGGTTCAACGCTCCTCAAAAACTCTTGATCAGAGGCCTTGCTGTCTGACCTAGTTTATCATCTTACCCAGGACGCGGATGTAGTTTATCGTCATACTCAGGCCGGGGCTTACCTTGGTGAAAGAAATTAAGGAGAAATTTCAACGATTATATTAGCCCCTAAACATCTTGTCTGAAAGAAAGGGTAAAATACTTACGTTCGCGCTAGATATATTTAACCCTTATCACTCTGTATGTGACTTCATTTACTATACAAAAAGTTTATCTTGCCCTGAAAATGAGTCTGATCCCTGAAAAATAGTGTGTTTGAATTTCATAGATGTGTTGCCATACCCTTTTATAGCAACAGAAAACAAATGAGTAAAATTATGACGTTACAATTTAACCTTACAAGGTTACTGCAAATGAGAGGGCTTCGAAAAGAATGCAGTCGAAAAGGAAGTAATATTAATTATGCATATTGCTAAAGTTTAAGGCCTAGAGCTCCTTGCGCGTAACTGAGATCGCCTTTAGAACCGAGGTGGGACATCAAGTTCTAATGTAAAAGGTTTTCTTTTCGAGTTACTTAGCAGATTCCAGGGCGGTGATTGGGGCCAGGAAAAATAATACCAAATAGCTAAACGCTATCGATTAAATTAACCGAGATCATCTATACCCAGACACGCATTTTATTCATATTTATGAATTTAAAAAGGGGTGCAGAATTAATTTCAACTCGGAACTAATTTCAACCCGTAATTAATTTCAACCCGGAACTAAGGGTTAGGTTTAGAGATACGGTTGGGGTTAGGGGTTAGGTTTAGGGTTAGGGGTTTTTAATCGATTTGAAATAAGTTCTGAGTTGAAATTAGTTCCGAGTTGAGATTAATCCCGAGGTGAAATTAGTTTCGAGTTGAAATTAGTTCTGTCATTCTTTATGTCATGTAGACTATCTGTCCCTGGTGCTTCCCTGATCGAAACAATCTTAGCCTCTTGAAGGGTCAGCCGTTATCTATTCTATATATCCTCATAATCTCTACTAAACTCCCTCCTCTTACATCCACAAAACAACATCACTCAGTAACACTCTACATTGAGTGGCTCTTAAGGCTTGTATTTAACTTAAAAAAGAAATACGCAAGCCAGTCAACAGATGTTTATTAATCATAAAGGTGCTTAAGACAAGGGTCTGTCTTCTCAACAGGCTTATTCAATCTTTACAGTGAAGCAATTCAGAGAGAGGTATAATACAAGGATCTGACAACTCACCAAGTTTATTCAAGCTTTTCCGTGAGACGATTCTGAGATAATTAAATCTTAGAAGGATTCCTTATTAGCAACCGCAATGATAGGGAGGAAACTACAGGAATTCCGAGAGAAGGGAGTAAAAGAAAATAAGAAAGCTTGAAAGATAAATTCTAAAAAGACAAAACTTATGGCCGTCATCAAAAGGAACAACCCTAAGTGCAAACTACGATTTGGGGACGTCAGAATAAAACAAGTACAAAAAATGTTTTAATTGAGGGCATAAAATTTGGCGTCGAAATCCGAATAGCGAAAGATGCCTTCGAAAATCTAAGCAAAGTCTTAATAAAAAAAGAAACTCGTTAGAAGTAAAGAAAAGAATGCTGGGCTGTTATGTAATAAATATCCTCTTATCTTTACAGAGGAAGAAGAGACTTGTAGAAACAGAAATATGATTCTCCGGAAGTATACTGTGGAGATCATGTGCAGAACAAGTGAGCAACAAGGAAGTTTCCAGGAAAATAGATGCAACGACACTTATAATTAGAATCCGAAAGAAACAATTGACATATTTAGGATACCTAATGAGGAAACTGGAAAAAAACTATAACTATAAAAGTGAAAAAAGAAAGAGGTAAGTCACCTACTTAAAGCGAAGGTGTAAGTGTTTTACAGAACAGGGACTATGTGGGATAGCAAAAAATCAAACCTTATTCCGAGCTACAAAAGACAGGAAGTTCTAGAGCGCCATGATCGCCCAAATCCTGAAGGAAAAAAAAACCAAAACAGATCTGATGTTATGTAACAAATAACTAAAGATCAGCTTGGTGACAGGCACGTTAGTAAGAGGGAATTAGACAATTTTGTACATTTATCTACGTAGATAAAAACCGCGAAAAGTAAAATCGGTGGACCAAGTTCAAGTTCCAGATTTGGTTTATTGTATTCTTTTCTAGGAAAATGCGCTTTGAAAAGCATGGATCCATTATTCTCCTCCCAACTGCCATAAGCTAAATATCATCTAGCTTCAAGTAACAACCAAGTTGAGTGAAGGGAAAATCTTAAACTCAAATCATGGACAAGCAAGAGGAAACTACACAAACTATCTTTCCTAAGAAGGCATGGCAATTCTCAGATAATGAAGAATAATCTACAAATCCGCTTTGAAGGGATATTGCATTTAAATAAAAAGCAATCATTGAGATCAATTTATAATATCAATGTAACCATGTATTCTTTCTTTCTTTCTTTCTTTCTTTCTTTCTTTCTCATTCTGCTCATTATCTATCTATCTATCTATCTATCTATCTATCTATCTATCTATCTATCTATCTATCTATCTGTCTGTTATGGTCCAGGTTAGGAGCAAGGAAGAACAACACGAACACGAGAGTAGAAATAACGAAGGTATATTACACGAAATAATAATACAAGATGTGGAAGGTGTTAGTATGACTGTCAGTCTTGTTTGGAGTGAACTACTATCGGCCCGACTCGATTCGTCCCTCTCTCTTGAGAGGCGTAGTATACATAGTATTAGGAAGAGTTCATTCTGTAGTTATAGTTAAGGTCCCATGGCACTATCTCATTCTGCTCATCTCATTCTGCACATTTTCTTTCTTTCTTTCTTTCTTTCTTTCTTTCTTTCTTTCTTTCTTTCTCATTGTACTCATTATCTATCTATCTATCTATCTATCTATCTATCTATCTATCTATCTATCTAAGTCACTCTTCTGATCTATCTATCTATCTATCTATCTATCTATCTATCTATCTATCTATCTACACATCCTATTCACTTCATATCACTCCTCCTATCTTTTACATTCCGGTCAGCATTCGCTTTCCAGATTATGTTTTTGCATTTCACAAAATCTCGTTCTCTCAGTATGATGACTTTTCTGTCGAATGCACTATAATAAGCTGTTTTTGTTGTATCCAACTCAGAGTGAGATATACCGAGCGAAGAGTTCATTTTTCAAGAATCGTACAATCACGTGTAATGGACTCTTGAAGAAGGACAGTTGTTTTTGCCGCCAGACGTTCATTTCCTGCTATATTAATAGCAACTGATGCCACAAGCCATACTTGCAATAACAAATCAAAGAATGCCTCGTGATAATAGATGTCAAGGTTTTATTATTTGCACACAAATATAAAGACACACACTGACACAGGCTTACACACACACACACACACATACACACACACACACACACATACACATATATGAATAAAGACAGAAGGAAAGATTTTTAAAATCAATATTCTTCGTCCTCTGATGGACTTTGTCAAGGTAAATATAAAGATTTTATTTGGCAACATGTATTTATAAACAAAAATAAAAATATCGTTAAATTTTCATAATTTTTAAAATTAAGAACTGTCTAACGTATATTTATGACTAAATGCAAAATTCAAGGTAAACAATGGTAGATATCACGTGATTTAATTTAATGCCTAATAAAAGAGACTAAGTAAATTCTTTTATTATTATTGTGGACGTTTGATTTTCTTATTTGCTTATAATTATTTATTTACTTTTTGCATTAATGTTATTATTTAATATTTTATTTTGATTCGACAAATTATTTATGTATTTATTTATTTTAGATAATAGAAATTTTTGATTTAATCATTTTTTCTTTTAAATTCAACCATTTTTTATGTTTTAATTTTCTAAATTGGTAAAGTTCAGCAGAGGACAAAACGAGTTGGTAAAGAAATGTTTTCCTTTTGTCTTTATTCTTATTATCTTTTCGCATATATATATTATTTATATCTGAATTTTCAAACACACACAGACACACACACACACACACATATATATATATATATATATATATATTGTCATCTACAGACAGACTATTTCGCTGTATCACAGCTAATCAGTGTGGCTAGACATCCGGTTGCCTTTAGTTAGGATGGAAACACTGTTGAATTGGCATCAGTCGGAGATTCTACCCCTAAGCGGTTGGTGCCCGGCAGTGATGAAGGTGAATATGACCGAGCCGAACATAGAGGAGACGTGAGCAACGAACATGCAGCCCGCTACCGCCAACCAGATCTATTTTCCACCTTACGAAACAGCGTCAGGGTGTCCATCCTGGCCCAATTTTTGATGCTGTGCATCCAGCTTTTGGACTCTCTCCCCTAACGTCTACCTACTTCCAAGAGCGACCGTCTTGGGGATGGTAATGTGGCGTATGACATGTACAAGCCACAACAGCATTCTCTTCTTTACTGTGGCCAAGAAGGGCTCCTGGGAGATTGTCAATTGTGTTACTTGGCCCTGTACAAAGTAATTTGTCTTGCGTTTTCTTCAGGAAATAGCACGGAGACGTTTGAAGCATTTCGTTTCAAATGTTTGTACTCTCTTGATAGTTTCTGCTATCAGAGTCCACCTTTCAGAATCACAGAGTAGTATGAACAGAGCCATGGTCTTGTAGAGATTCATATTAGTTGGAAAGCTTTTTGCACTTCCAAATCTTACTGAGTTTTGCCACTGGTGATGTTGCCATACTCTGGTCTGGTCTTGATCTCTGTTGTAGACCGTTCATCTTTAGTGAGGGTAACGACAAGGTATTTTGAAAGGGTCCACTTCTTCCAGTTGTTTTCCGTTCATGAAGATCTTGGCCCTGATGAAGGCTGTGATATTGAGCAGGACTTTACTCTTCTCAATGCTCGCTTCCATTCCATACGCTCCTGCACTTTTTTTCAATCTGTTAGTAAAGGCTCTGCAATTCGGAGTTGTTGCTGCCCATCAAGTTAATATCAGCGAAGCGTAAGTTGTTAAAGATTCTTCCTCTTGTCGATATAGTGAACGGAAGTTCTTGAATGGTTTCTTGCGTGATGTTTTCAAGAAAGAGATTGAACAAAGTTGGGGAGAGCAAACAGCCCTGACGGGGGCCAACTGTGGTCTTCAAATAGTCACCCACCTAACTGTTAATTAGGACCGCTCTGCTGGAGGTCTTGTACAGTGCCTCAATTCTTTGGATGAGGGTCTCTTTGCTAAAATTCCTCGGTACTTGCCATAGACCGTCATGCCACACTCCACACTTGAAATCTATTGTTATGTAGCAGATTTATTTGAGGTTGCAGATGTTTCTGCATCAGAATGCGGCAACTGAAGACCTGCTCCACGGTGCTTCTGCCAGCACTAAATCCAGCTTGTTCCATAGAATGGACTCAATCACTCATCATTCCCAGGACCCCCCCCCACCAAAAAAAAAGAAACTTTCGCCAGTGTCAGAGCTACGGGATCATCAGCTTCATTAGCCACGCCAGCAAAATCATGCTACGAGTCATTTCAAACAGACTCAAGAAAGAGGCTGAAAAACATTTAGCAGAAGAGAAAGTTAGTGATATGTAACTATTCTCATACTGAGTGTATCTGGTGAAGAGGCAAAATGAATAAAGAGAGACAAGAGGAAAAACTATACTTAACCGACGTGTTTCGCCCTCTGAGAGGCTTTATCATGGAAATATAGGATTTATTATGCTGATCTTGTTTACATATACAGAGGCGAGAATGTCATTGGCTAATCAAGGCTTGTAAATTTGGGAACGTTCATGTGTGGTCATCAGAGGTTTGAAACGCGAGTCAAAGAATGTGAAGGGTATAAAGTGGCTTATTTACATTATTCGGACTATTGTCCTCGTCTTTGTCACCGTATTTATTACAACGTTTCGGCCGTTATACGCTCCGGCCTTCTTCAGGTGGTTGGAATGTCGAACTTAACCCTTTATTTCGCTAAGTGGGGTAGAGCGTTCTAGTTCCACGTGCTATATTTAATGGATGTCAGTTATCAGTTATTTCCTATTAATTCCCCTCTCCAAGTTCTCCACTGCCGTAACCGGGTATTGGACTCACACATTTTGGGTCCTGTCACTAGAATGTAATCAACACTTTTATCCACTGTGCCATGTGTCCTTGTTATGATTATTTACATTCGGAACAATGTCCTCATGCTTGTTTTTTGCGATCCCAACATTTCCTTACTATCCAGATAACCTTCATAATAATTGGAACTCTTCAATCCCAGGGCCGTGAAGTACTCGAACTCAGTGGAAACAGTGTAAGCAATAAATGAATAATTAACCTAAACGAAAGATCCCTCGACATGAAGAGCATAAGGAAAACAATCTACGTCTGGAGATTTTATAAAGCATACAGTTCTAAATTCTCTAAATGTTACTCGGGTGTATATACACTTGAAAAAGCCTGCAGAACGTAACAATCGACACATGGTGATCGTAACAAAAAAGTCGAAGACTATTTATATTATTCGGTTCCACGTGACATATCTGATGGATGTCAGTTATCACCTGTTAATTCCCCTCTCCAATTTCTCCACCGCCTCAAGGACGCCTTAACCAGGTATTGAACTCACACTCTTTGGGTCCTGTCACTGAAACTAACTAACGCCTTTATCCACTGTGCCATGTGTCCTTGTGGAACTAGAACAGTCAACCCCAGTGAGCGAAATAAAGTGTTCAGTTTGACATTCCAGCTGAAGAAGGCCGGAGTATACAACAGCCGAAACGTTGTGATAAATATAGCAACAGAGATGATGACAATGGTCCGAATAATGTAAATCGTGTACATAATACCTCATCGCAGAAATATAGACATATAAAGTGCCCTAATTCAAAGTCTGGTGAAAATAAAGTGAGCTAGTAATATTGAATAATTTTTTTAATAAATATTGTGTGGATTGTGATTAGATTGTTATGGACCTATGTACTGTACATATTGAAAAACGTGAGGTGATGGATTTACCCGTTTTCTTTTGATTTTTAGGCATATTTGTTGTTGTGTATGTTGGCTTGGGAAAGTCGTAATTCTTTCAGGAAAGGTGAGATTGGGAAAAAAACTCGGGTATAGATTGATATTTTGATAATATTCGATGGCGACACTCTTGAGAATTTTCCTTCACAGTGAATTACTTTCTCGTTTGATGAGTGTGGCATTTTTTAGTTCAAAATTCTGGTCGAATTTATTTCTGTCTATGAGTATTGTATTTGTTAAATTGTTTTTATGTTTTCCTTTTTGCTTTCATAGATACGTTTTTCAAATTTCTGCATGTGCTCGGTAGCGTATCGGTCTACCGGCGAAGAAAGTGGAATCGGATAGCCAAGTTCTAATTCTGTCTCATAAAGTTAATGACCATATCCTACTCTGCTCGTAAGGAAGGCACTCAACAGTTCTGCGTTTAATAACACGGAAAATTCAGTATAGGAGAAAGAAAATTCTAAAATGGAAACTATTTCATTGTCTCCCACTAGAAGTCATGTCAATTCACGCAAAGTAAAGAAAGCTTCAGAAAAATCATTAGTTATGCCCTGAAAGGACAGGTAATGAATGAATGAATGAATGAATCTATCTATTTATCTATCTATCTATCTATCTATATATATATATATATATACATACATATATATATACATACATACATATTATTATTATTATATTACACTTATTTAAAAATTATTTTAAAAACTTATTCAAAAACTTCATAGATAAATTTAAAGCACCAATAAGCAAATTATAACCACACACATAGGCACACACGTAGTGGCCAACAGACACACACACCATACAAACTTGTACGGGGAACGAATATACAAACACACTAGACGAACCACACGCTCACAAACCATACTCACCTTATAAAAGGTATATATATATATATATATATATATATATATATATATATATATATATATATATATATACTATTTCCTTGTAATAAAACAATATATATGTATGGAGAAGAATATGTATACGCATAATACATAAACACACACACAGAGTACACAAAAATGGAAATAGGGTTAAAAAGATACAGTGGTCATAAAAAGATAAGAACAACCTTCTTTCCCCCTGTCTCTGACCAATTTTAATTGCTTTATTGCCCCTAAAGCAGAGGAACATTTTCTCCACTAGTCCAAGAAGAACTTGGATTACTTCCAAACACAAAAGACAATGGTTAAACATAAGTAAACATAAGGTAATTGTTTTCCTTTAAATAATACGTGGAAAATAAAAAGTATAATATATATTTTTAAAAATCATATATATATATATATATATATATATATATATATATATATATATATATATATATATATGTATTTTGTGTGTGTGTATGTATGTGTTTGAAAATTTAGATATAAATAATATATATCTGCAAAAGATAATAGGAATAAATACAAAGGAGACTTTTTTCTTTACCGACGCGTTTTCTCCTCTGTTGGACTTTATAAATTTAAATAATTCAAACATTAAAAATTCAGTTGAACACACACACACACACACACACACACACATATATATATATATATATATATATATATATATATATATATATTCAACCGAATATATATATATATATATATTAAACCGAATCTTTTAATGTATATATATATAATTTTTAATATATATATATATATATATATATATATATATATATATACATACATACATACACACACACACACACACACACACACACACATATATATATATATATATATATATATATATACATATATATATATATATATATATATAGGGGAGAGAGAGAGAGAGAAGCTCTGCCTGCGTCCGGATTGACTACTTTTGTCCTACTGATGAAGTAGTGCCCGAATGGATAAAAGGAACTTTTCACTTTATATTTGATAAAAAAAGAGAAGAAAAGGCGTTTTCTTTTAGCTTTATAGTTGAGTTGGCGATGGTATAAACCTCATAATATGATGTAATATAATGACTGGTGGCAGGTCACGAAAGAACGGGCTAGGCATCGAGTGAAGAAGCCCGTAGAAAAGATTTAGTCTTTCGTTCTTTTGTGTTCAATGAAGCGTGTACGAGTGATATGGCGGCAAGAATAGTTGGCTTGATCAGGAAGGGGAATGACGCTAACCCCTACCTTTGAATGTAAGACAAAGCAAAAAGAAAAGGAGGCTTGCATCTCAGATAAGATGCATTATAATATAATGTAATATGCTCAAAAATGACAGGTCACGAAATGCTAGGTTTATAGTGGCAAGCTATTGAGTTGAAGATATATCAAGGTCAGTTTTGGCTTTCATCTTTACAGGGTCGATGAATGAAAGGAGAGAAAAGCAGATACTTTGACCATAGATACAGAAGAA